CTGGGGCACCCATGACCCCACCCCCAGGATGAGCTCCTGATCCACACAGAAACAGGCCTGGAATTGGGGTGAATGGGCCTGGCTGCGCTGGTGAGGGTCGGGATAGAAACAGCTGATCTAATGACATTGAACCATGAAATATATTCTGAAAAGAAAGATTCGGTGATATGAAAAAAAACAAATATAATATAAAAATAATAATAATAAATCATAATGCCCTTTAGTATACATGACTAGGCAGATATTTTGTATCACAAAACTGTATATTTGCATAAGAAAACACAGAAGCTATCAATACTAGATAACTTCTAGTCATGCTCACCCCTCCTGTAAGACCAAATATTCTCTCAAGCTCTGGTGGTGGCAGTACTTCATAGCCAACAATACTGTCCTTAAAACCTGGTGCATACTCTTCAACAACATTAAAAATCTGTATGGAAGGAGTTATTGATATTAAAATAGGCATATCAAAAGGAAGATGTTTAATGTATTTCCATATTTGTGAATATAGTAGTAAAAAAAAATGCATATAAGATCAGTTTTACTCCATTTTTATCTATGTAATAAAAGTACCAACCTTTTTTGCAACCTCTTCCTTGGTCTCCTTGTCCCAGGGTCTGCCATCAGCCCGATTGTATGGGACATACTGTGTGAAGAACAGTGCCACATGGCAACCAGGAGGAGCCAAAGTAGGATCACAGCTGCTAGGCAGAGTCATCTCTATCATTGGGCTGCAAATCAAGATGCATATAAGGATGTAATGCCTTAAAAGGGATTGGAATGGATACTGATTTTTTGCATATATATTTATACATTTTCAGGATTAAACCATTGTCACACTCTAAACTCTCAGAGTCACCACTAAGCATCTCATATGCAATGCTAAAATTTAATATACTATGTGGGATAAAGAAACAAATTTAGAAACAGTTTAGTATGAAATACCATACTAAATACTTTCACTCACAGCTTTCAAATTACAGCAGTGGTTTCCATAATGTGCTTTTTGCTTTTTCTGGCAACAAAATACTATCTTACTGTTTCTTTATAAGTGCTTACTTGTCAGGTATGAGTCCTGCCTTTGCCTGCAGATAGGCCTCATCCAACAGCTCGGTTCTCTCACAGTTAAGGTGAATAGTGCAGCGATGATGAGGCATTACAGTATCCTTATTTGTACTTGGATTCGCCTTGAAATTTGGCAGAGATTTCAGGGCAACTGTGGATAGGAGAAAGAATAAGTAGAATAAGTCTGGTATCTGTAATGATTCTTTTAATATCACTTTTGCTTTCTTGAAAGAAAACATGTCCTCAATTAAACAGAATCATCATAAATTTATTACAGATTATTATATATATATATGTGTGTGTGTGTGTGTGTGTGTGTGTGTGTGTGTGTGTGTGTGTGTGTGTGTGTGTGTGTGTGTGTGTGTGTGTGTGTGTGTGTGTGTGTGTGTGTGTGCACGTGTGTGCGCGTGTGTGCGTGTGTGTGCGCGTGTGTGTGCGTGTGTGTGTGTGTGTGTGTGTGTGTGTGTGTGTGTGTGTGTGTGTGTGTGTGTGTGTGTGTGTGTGTGTGTGTGTGTGTGTGTGTGTGTGTGTGTGTGTGTGTGTGTTTATATATATATATATATATATATATATATATATATATATATATATATATATATATATAATGCTAAACAAATCTAGAATAAGAATGCTGATGTCTTACCATTAAGTTTACAGACTGGAGAAGTATAATCAATGCCTTTTATTGTTGCCTCAAACTCTTTAGGTAATGAACCCTCTGGGAGTAGTTTTAGAAATGTAACATAGGCAGTGGCATTAGAGAGAACTGTTTTAGCATTTATTTTCATTCCATCTTCAGTCTCTACACCAACTACTTCCTTGTTATCTCCAAGGATAACTGATTTTACAGGCTGTAAAATATTCACATGTTAAAAGTAGTAATAAGGATTGACAACTAAGTGACATGACACATAATAAGTACAAGGGAGGTGCACAGAAAAACTGCAACAAAAAATATCTGCAGTCAAGGGGAAAGCTTATTTGTTGAATCACAGAATTGTCTTTATGAAATAAATCACTAGTACTATTATATCATGGATGAGAATGACAGACAACTTTAAATTCATCATTTAGAATTAAATCTTCCAAAATACTGATTCTAAGTTTATTGAGATATCAGGCAATAAATGCACATCCTTATAATTTTTTCACTTAAAACATATTCCCTAAAAACTGCACACTAATTATTACCTGATTGGTAAATATATCTACCCCTGCCTCTTCAGCTGCTCTGGCCATAGCCTGTGTAACACCACCCATGCCTCCTTCAGGGTAACCCCAGGCACCTCGGACTCCAGCCACTTGGGCCATCACATGATGGAGCAAAACGTATCTGTAAGGATTGAAAGAAAAGATGGAGATGTGGTCCTTCAATCCTGATAGCCTTTTTGTTCTTGTGCCTGTGAAAAACACATCTATGTATTATCTGCTTTTG